CCCGTGGATGTCCCAAAGCCAAAAATCCTCGTCTCCGCAGATGCCCAAGAAGGCTGGCCGGCTGGGTACGGATACGGTTCCGGGGAGTTTGGGGTTAGAGACTTGAGCGTATTCTTCAGAAATTTCAGTCACGAAATATTGTTGCTTGCTGTGCCGCTTTGCGCTCGAGCACACACGCTCACCTGAAAAGCGGGATGGCGCTGAGAACTTCTGGAACTTCTTTCTCATCGGTGGGGGGGCTTGATGACATGGTTAGAACTTGCATGGATGTGCAGGCACACTCTGCAGGCCAAGTCGGCATATCAGACCCACGTGGTCGGAATGTGGCACAGCAACTTGAACTCTCAAAGTCTCAGTCGACTTCATTTTGACGAGGTCTTGGCTTGATAGCAGAAAGTTTCTTGGTCGATACAACACTTCAGGGCCATCCAGCGCATCGCTGGCTAGCAGCCAATTGCAAACACTACCCTATACGTGGAAACAAGTTTGCTTCAGGGGAAAACCTTTGCTTGATGAGACAACCTGCTTTTATAAGGATAGCATGTCGATACAAGAGTCCAGAGCTTTACCGCACATGGCAAATTGCCCGAACCGGCGTGTCTCGGACAGGGATATCCTCGCATGTCACATTCATCACTGACTTGTCATCGCGACACGGACCAAGTCTGGCCACATTGTGGTTGTGTGGTCCACTCCTTGGTCCATGAATTTTGATAATTGCGTAAATTCGAGTTGAAGCTAGCCCGCCAAGTTGTCAAAACCTCCCGCTGTCACCTCTACCACTGTGACATTTTAGCCCCCAATGTGATATATCATACGCGGTAACGCCATGTGACATAAAGGACCTCTCCTCGGGTTTGGCTTAGACTGCGGCTCATTTCTCTTCCTCGGTTGGGTTCCGTGCTCGGGATTCAACTTCCATAATAATGTGGAAGAACCCCCGGGCAGCGGTTCCCACAATACGGGCTTTACGAAATATGGCAGACTATCAGGGGAACCAACAGCTGGTTCTCTTATGAAAGACCATCATCCCTGGATCTGCGCTAATTAGTGCCGCGTGCAATGCCCGTACGCGTGCATAGTGTGCGTGTACTACAGTAACTCCGTATATGCGTCCAACAAGGGGGACGACAAGCAGGGGATGGGGGCCGCCGACGACCACGTCTCTTCTAGAATCCTAGGTCTGGCGAGGAAACCCAGACGCATATCCGGCCGGTGGCTCAGCGAAGTTCGAGGTGACTGGTCGCAAACTCGATGCGTTTTGCAAGATGCAGGCATGGGTACGTTCGTCTCCAGAAAGCACTCCTGAAATGCAACATCGGCATACTTTCCGGCGGGGGCAGGAAAGAAACTCTGTGGCTCTGCTGCTCCAATGGTCCTCGTACGGAGTTTGGCCCCGTATGCGTTCCCAACTTCCTCGTGGCTCCCTCGAGCTTCTCGCAAACGTGCAGTGCACGAGGCAAGAGGGGGATGTTACCTTGTAGACGATCCGAGGGACAAGACCCGGAGGACAAGCCCTCCAGAGCCCACACACCTCACACATCCGGCCTAGAAGCTCTCACAAAGTTCGTGCTTGCAGCCCGGCTTGGCCGTTACTTCAAGTGTGATATCTTTTACCTGCTCCGACAGGGGATGCCTTCTGGCCCAGATGCTCGGTACCGGAACAGGATACCCAATCCATAAGGTTGGAACTATGTGGGAAAAGGCAAATGTGAAAAGGGAGAGAGGCCAGAAAGGAAGAGCATATTATTTGTATATTGATACTCCCTCCACTCTCCCCCCTCCCCTCTTGGCACGAACGTTACTAGCTGAAAGGCCTAGTCTAATGATGTTATGAACGACGAGCTCCTGTACAGATAAAGCGGTCTAAAGCCAGTCGGCTCCGCCACCTCTGTCCACTCGTGCCTTTTCCTCCTAGTCTCCTACCTAGGCTCGTCGGTTAGATCGGCAACGTCCTTCCCGTCTCACTACATCCTGTCGAACAGCGTCCGCCCGCAGACCTTCAGCCTTACGTCTGTCTGGGCTTGACTTCACCGCGTTCACCGACTGGGTTCCAAAGGAGGTTATTCGCAACAGTTCAGCCCACGATGAGCGAGTCGTGGACTTACAACACCCCGCCGGGGACACCGTCCACGGGACCCCAGATCACGGCCATCGCGTTGGTGTTCACGGCGCTGTCGTTGATCATCATGATGTTGCGGTTATACGTCCGTGTGATCATGCTCAAGGCCGCTGGTTCAGGTATGTTTGCATCTCGAGTGATCTGACCTTTGGACAGAGTACTAAATCGTCGGTTATAGATGACTGGGTCATCTTTGTAACGTGGTTTGCGGCTGCTGGATTCGCAATCGTCAGCACTATTCGTACGTTGATCTTCAATCTTCACCACTCGTCTTGCGTCTAATAACCACTCGCAGAAACAAAATGGGGCTTGGGCCTCGAAAAGCTGGAGGACATGCCAGCGCAGAATCTCTACAACTTTGGTCTTCTGCAATACGCCGGCGCTCCTTTGTAAGTGCTCAAGGTCTTCAGCAAGATTGATCAAGACATGTTCAGAACTGACATCCAGTTCAGCTACATCAGCAGCATTCTCGGATTCAAGATCAGCTTGCTTCTCTCATATCTCCGCTTCATTCCGAAGGGTCCCTACAGGTGGGCAACTTTTGTCACCATTGGCCTCTGCGTTGCGTATCACCTTGCCTTCCTCTTGGTGCAGATAAATCTGTGCACGCCTGTAAGTTTCCCCCATCTCTTATTCCAAGTCTGAACACACATTGACAAAGAACAGATCGCGAAGCAATGGGACCCCACGATCACCAATGGCTCCTGCATCCCCGGAGTTCCCTTCTACACCAGCATGGCGTCTCTTACAATTGCGTTTGACGTCATTGTGTATGTTCCTCAAATCAACCATGTTTTCAAAAACCAGCTAACAATTTGTCTCCTCAGCATGTTCCTTCCCTTCCCCGTCCTCGCATCTTCCAAGATCCAGAAGCGCAAGAAGTTCGTCCTCCTCGGTCTCTTCGGCCTCGGTGCCTTCATCACCGTCATTCAAATCATCCGAATCCAAACCGTCCACGCCCTCGCAAACTACCTCGACTCCTCGCCCCTCATCATGTGGTCCGCCATCGAAAACAACCTCGGCATCATCGTCTGCTGCATCCCGACCCTCGCGCCCCTCGTCAAATACTTCAACGAAAAGAGCAGATCCGGGAGCCGAAGCAACAAGTACGGTGCCGCGAGCGGCTACGGAAAGACGGGGCAGAGCGGCAATGTCGGAAGCAGGTACGCGCTGCAGAGCTGGCGCCCGGGGATGAGCGGTATGCAGCCGCTCGGCAGCGGGATCGACCACAGCGACCGGGATATTGGCGTCCAGAGTTCAAGGATAGGGAAGGGATCGGATGACGGCAGTGCCGATTATCATCTTGATGCGCCGGTTATTGTGAAGAAGACGGAGTTTGTGGTTACGAGCAATCCTAGGGAGCCGGGTGAGGCTGTTTGAAGGGGATTTGGGAGCGAAAAATCATTAACGACTTGGTATATTGATGTCTGGGTACTTGTCTAAATAGTTACACATAATTCGTATGACTCTACAGGGATGCAGGTGCTATCGGCCGTGTTTTCCCCAGCTTATGAGCTTATTTCCTCGACACCCCGACTCTTGTGATGTCCAGGCTCTAATTCGGCTGATCAAGCAAGGTAGTGCCCTCCTCAATAGTGACATTGTTTGATCTGTACGCTGACGCTGTGGTTTTGGTGACACCGACGCAACTCTACCTTAGCAAGATCGTATTACATTTGTATATCGGCCTCCGCGACAAGTCAAACTCTTGCTGTCCAACATACCTATGCAAAGAGCTTCCCTATCGATTAGCCAGTTTCTTCTCGTTGCCTGACCTCCAGGGCCCCAGTGATATTTAGTATTGTTCCCGACCACAGAAACAAGCATTCGCTGCCTCACTCCTTTGTTCTTGCATTTACAAAAATAGAGTTAGAGGTCGACCGGGTTAGCTGGTCATCCAGTCGATTGAGAAGGTTTGTCATAACAAACTTGTCAGCGGACCGACCCGAGCTGAGCAAAACGCAAATCGAGTGGGAACGCACCATCAACTTGACTCTCATGTTACTCAACCAAAGCATTTCTTCACAAGAAAAACCTTTACTTGCGATGACATTCAAAGGCTTTGTAGGGTTCGCATCGACAACAGCTGAAAGCACAGCAACGAAGTCAGAGAGATGAATGGGGGATTGAATCCAGGATCTCACAACGGTCTAAAGACAAGGAAGTCTAGTAACAAAGAGCACATCGTCCTTGCTTCTGATCATGACGTTTCAAAAGCTTTGACCTTGTGAACACATTGAGATGAGCAAAGCACAAGTTGAAGTGAAAGTCAAGTTCTTGTTCCACTAATATCTGCCTAAGTTCGGTAATACGCAGCTCTTCTCATCCGAAAGGTAAGTGAACGGCGTCAATCCAGAAGTCAGCCTTTTTCCACCGCCGCCGTCCTTAGTCCCCTTCGATCTCAAAAAGAGCAGTAAGTATACACGAAAGAAGCCCTCTAGTGAGAAGGGCCAAAGGGGTCAGGGACCTGAGAGTCGGAGCCGGGGCTGAAGGCCTCTCTCTTAACATGAAGGCGAGCACTGCCCAAGCCACCCATACCACCACCGCTGACACCAAGGCTTCCGTTGCCCTGCATCTGGCTCTGGGGCGTCTCGTAAACTCCAGGGGTAGCTCCATCCTGGCCCACGAAGAGACCGCCGGCAGAAGAAGTGACAGAGTCATGACGCTGATGAGTAGGACGAAGCTGAGTCTGGAAGTCACTGGCGGAGCCCAAGTGACCATCACCGCCGCCGACACCAGGAACACCACCAGCACCTCCAGCACCTCCAGCACTTCCAGTGCCACCACCAGCAAGGACACCAGTAGTACCGCCTCCGCCGGCAAGGCTGTTGAGGCGAGTGAGATCATTGCCGATGCCTCCGATGACGACTCTTCCACCTCCGCCGGTGTTCTTCTGGACACGACCACCCAAAGTGTGACGGAGAAGACCGAGGTCTCCTTTCATAATGTCCTTAAGCTCGCGGACCTTCTTCCGGATCTCCTTGCTCTTGTCCTTATCGTACATCGCATCAGCGAAGGACTCAAGGTTGGCCATAGTGTCGCTGACAACGGTGTTCTGAGCCCGAGTATCCTGGAACTCGTCGTCCTCATAGAGGGCATGCTGAGCCTGGACGTTGTTGCCCCAGTGGCACATGGCGGAGTTCTGGTGGACAATGAGGTGACGGAAGACCTCGGTCGGGTACTTGCCGCCGTTGAGGGCCACAGCGGTGAGAACGTCACGCTGACTGAGGTCGCGGTTGTTCTTGAGCTTCTCAAGAATCTTCTTGTAGAGGACGTGGTCGTTGAGAGTCTGACGCCAGAAGCTAGTATCAATGTCCTCGAGGATGATCTCCAAGAGTTGGGAGTCAACCTTGTTGATGAGAGTCTTGATGAACTTGTGAGCATCAGAGCGGTTGTCGCGGTACCACTCATGGTTAGCCGCAAGAACCGCCTTGTCGACCCAGGCGGCGGTGTTGCAGCGGATGAAGAGGTCCTTCAGGACCTTGTTGTACTCACCGTCATAGTTGACGGCGACGATGGCCTCAAGGGCGAGGAAGTCGACGAGATCGGGGCGACGTTCGCGCTCGGGGACGTTCTTGTCCTTGAGCGAGTTGCAGAGGGACTGATAGATGGTGTTGTCCGAGATGCAACGACGGAAGGCGTTTGAGTCGATGCGAGACTCGATACGGCCCAGAAGGGCGGGAGTGAAGGTCGCGTTCTCGCGAATCTTGCTCTTGGCCTCCGTCATGCGTCTGGCGCGCTCTTCGGCCGAGATGACGGTGGTACCGCGGTCGCGCGAGCGGGAAGACATGATGGTTGAGTCGATGAAGTGGTGAGCGACGAGAGGTTGATGATTTGTAAGGGGTTTCTTTGTTTGCGGACGAATCTGCGTCAAAAGAAGTCAGAACCACCTTCGAGGACTCAACAAAAATAATGAGATTACTTACCGCAATATTCAGCTTGTTGTGGAAGCTCTCACAGCGCGCGTTGTTGTGATATGATAGCGATGAGGGCAACAATGTTCATGCCACTTAGCTATATCTCGCCGGTCAGTGATGTATCACAGCGAGATACACAAGCGGTTGGGTGAAATTAACAAGCTTGAAAAAGAGACGAATCGAATCTCGAGAGTGATGGGTGGGGAAAAGACAAGAAAAAAATAAAAAGAAGGGTGAGGGCGAGGGTGAAGGTGAGGGCGAGGGAGGGCGAAGGAGGACGAGAGGGTGGGGCGCGGTCATGGAAGGTGAAAATGAGAACAATGGCCTCACCTCGAGGCAGGAAGGAGCGATCGGGCTCAAACTAATGAAGATTTTTTCACCGCTATAAGATAAGAAAAATCAGTTTCATTTGCAGTAGGCGTATTTTGAGAGAAGGAAGGGACCAAGTGACGCGAAAAGTGAGGGCTTACCTAAATTGTGGTTTGTGGGAGTGGCTGACTTTCGATGCGATGGTAAAGAAGAGAATTTAGGAAGGGCTTCAACTCCTCAGGATATCTCCATTAGTTGGTCCCTCTTCGTATCTATCAAGGCAGGTATTGGCATCCTCACCTTCCCGTATTGCCTCTCTCTATCTCTTTCCGACGTATTCGTCTCCCGCCGGAAGTGAGAGGGCCTGAAGAACCAGGACGGCGAGCATGGCCGCGTCCCGAGCCGTGCCGACACATCAAGTCATGAAAACATAAGCTGTAGAGCGTTCTCAGTGAAGGATTTTATATCATGGATATGGCTGGGGCATAGAACAGCTGATTATAGGAAGTATCCTGCCCAAGTGAAGCTCAAGAAAAGACATCACGTTGCTATGGACAGGCGTGATAGACATCAAGCACCACATTCTCTAGGCTTTATGCAACGGCAAGAACATTATTTTGACTATTTTTGATTTTTATTACGCAACACAGTAACCAGCTGCCACCCGATCTGGGATCCTTGGTGTGCTCCCATGCCTGTCATCAAGTCATGGTCTCATAATAAAGCCACTTCAATAAAGCATGCGCCTTCCAATGTTCCTTGACAATCTTGCCACGTCCAGTGGTATGTAACAATGACCAAATCCTGCTTTCCCTCAAGCTACAACAATGATACAAACCAGAGCGTTCAGATCAGGAAGACAGAGGGCTGATGCCGAGGACCTTCATACCATTCTCAAAGACCTGTCTGGCATTCTCGTACAGCACCGCTCGCGCAAGGTCAAGCGCCGGATCGTCGGCAGTCTCCTCTTCTTCGTCTTCACCCTCGCCCTCGTCGTCATCGAGACATACCAACAACTGCTCGGCCAGCCGATACAGGAACGTCAACACGGCCGAGGGCTCGAGAGTTTTGTACGCAGCGTTGATGACATCAGGGTACTGTGCCATGAGTCTCAGGAGATTCGTGTACTCTTCCTCTTCTAAATGCGCATAGTCGACTTCTCCGAGCGCAGTAGGGCCAGCGCCAAGCTCCTTGATAGTTAAACAAAGTCGAGTGTAAAGGAGTTGAAGATGAGCGCCCGTCTCACTCTCGAACTCAGTCATCTTCTTGCTGTCGAACGCGTACCCGTTGCTGCGCTTGGTGTGCATGTCTTGGGCAAGAAGCGATGTGATGCCGAAAGGCTCCGCAGCGGCAAGAGGGGCCCCAGCATTCTCCTCCGTCGCCATGGCGTCTCTTACTGCGTTGGCGCATTGGTTCAGCATGTCTCCCAATAAGTGCTTATTGCCGAGCTGAGACGACAGGCCCTGGACTTTGCCAAAGTTGACGTGTTGAATTTTCTTGGCGAGATCCTCTCTCCCCATCAGCTCGAGTGCCTTGATCACGCAGCGGAAGTGAGAATCCTGCTCCGAAGCGACGACGTAAATCATCTTGTCGAACGCAAACTTCTTCTCACGATCGAGGACAGCAGCCAGGTCACGGGAGAAGTACATGGTCGTGCCAGTACGGTTCCGGATCATACCAGTACCGAGTCCTTTGGCGCCGTGCTTCTTGAAGTCGATGAGCCACGAACCATCGCTCTCCTCGGATATCCCCTTCTCCTTGAGGACTGTTTCAACTTCCGCAATTGACTCCGGCGTTACCTGCGACTCTCCGGCATATTCATCAAACTTGATGCCGAGACGAGCATAGGCTTTGGTGTAGTCTTCAACATATACGTCGCGGAACCTAGTGGTCAAGGCTAATGCATCGGCATCCCCTTCCTCCCATTTCTTGGAGAACGCATCACGTTCGGCATAAATGCCCTTTGACTCAATCTCGGCTGTATTCTTTCCTTCCTCCTTCGCCTTCGCGCTTGCCTCTTGTTCAGGCTTGAACAGTTCGTTGATCTGGTTGTGTACATCGAGTAGGTGACGAATGGGATCTTTGGCAAAGGCTTCCTCTGAACCGAACTTGTTCCAACCGACGGCGAGAAGGGCAATGTTCTTGCCCCAGTCGCCTAGGAAGTTCAGTCGGCCTACTTCCCATCCCATCCGCTCATGTATATTGGCGATGGCAGCACCATTGATTGTGCTGCGAAGGTGTCTGCCTTCGAATTCTTGTGCGATATTAGGCGACGAGAACTCAACGATGACCTTTTTACGTCCAGACTCGGGTGATGCAGCGTCCTTCAAACCAAAAATGTCATCACTTCCATACAATTCTTTGCGGTCGGCTATGAAGGGGATGAGGAGTCTGGGAAGGAAGTATGGGGAGGAGAAGATGCGGATGTGAACCCCGTCGACGAATGGAAAGGTGTATAGGGGTGACTTCGGAAACTGCATTTGTTTTCTGTCAGCCTAGGGAGGTACCTTCAACGTTCACTTGAGTAATAACCTTATCGAGAAGCTCAGCTGCGGCCTCGGCGTTCGCTTTGATCTTCAGACGGGGCAGAATGATGGCTAGATCGCCCATGGAAATGGCAGCCGTAGACTGAATCGCCTCATACGCAACAGCTGGTTCGCAGCCTGCCACCTCCGCCACGATGGTGGCTAAGTAAGAACGCCAGATATCTAACGGGCGCACTAACACGTCGGCAACTGGAAAGGATGGAAGAGGTTTTTCGAGGCTCAGCCTCCCAAGTGAAGATTGAAGGCCGTTGATGGACAAAGTCGCCATGGTGTTACTGGGATCTGACAAGTATCTTGTGACCACCTGCTTTGGTGTGTGTGGAAGAAGGAAAACAGGCAAGCGCTATCACAAACGATGGGAGAATTGTCTCTTTCTTCAGCGATAGCATCGGAGTGACGAAATGGGCCGTTGGTGTGGTCGGGCACCAAAGGCAGCCAACGCGGCGTCGCTGGATTGGTTGGTTTGCAAGCTTGCAGACGCAGATGCTATGACCCAGTCGTTGAATGAGGCTACCGCGCATGGTATGTGACGACTTTAGACCGGCACTGCCAGAATGACATGTGTCTCGCTAACATGAAAGCATTGATTCATCCTCTGGCTATCTTACACACTTTGTTCGGCGACATGAAGTTCGATGGAATGGCCGTCGGGCTCTATCCCACCAGCTGCCAGATAGAGTTACTACACCCCTCTCCAGTCTTTCTCCAATTCTGGCTATTTCGGCATTATTCCTAGAGGGATACAACTGAAATACCTTCAGGTTCACAGATTACTCCTTATCACCCTCTACCAAAATCCGTGCAAATGTATTGACGCTACGTGTGCCGTTCATGAGATAAGTTAGTCAGCCCTTTTATACGTGTTGTCCCGTCTCCTCGTTATCCGAAAAGCCTCTGGACGCCGCAAAGTTTAAGAACGCAACACTAGCAATCGAAAATGCTATTAGACAGGTTGAGATCGCAAAGCCACTCTCGATATCGCCGGTTCTAGCCGCCCAAATAACACCGAACACAACGCAAAAAACCACAGATGTCCACCTGATGAGCCACAGAAGGTTGTAGTTCGGGCCTTCTTCAATCTCCAGACCATAGCCTATGCCCACCTTTCGTTGTAGAGGGAGCTGCCCGTCAATGCGATGAATGATCCGATCGAGATTACTACGATCGCTAACATTAATGTCGGCGGTGCTTTTGAACAGGTCCATAAGACGTTTTGACGGTACAGGCTCGAACGAAGGGCTCTCCGTCGGCCGGTACCTTGTCGCTTCTGAAATTGGAGGGACCTTTTGTCGAAACCTTATCGAAACATAACCGTCATTATAGAGTTCGAACTGTGGGTTTCAGTATGATACACAGTTAAATATACAAATAGCTCCGATCATAGATATCACATACCTCCACATAGTGCATTCCAATCGGCTCCCTCAACCCACTCCGCGAGAGGAAACCAGACCAGGTGAACCATCGATCTCTCAGCAATAGCTCTCTGAGTGAACTGAAGAAGGATTTGTCATCATTACACCCTTGCGAACTGATATCATTCAACTTCGGAAGTCGTTTGCCGTCGACTCGAAGGCATATAGGAATATATTCGATGTTTTGGCCCAAGTTCTGCAAAGCCCCTGGTGGGCCAGAAATGCCGCTTTCGGCCTTTCTGAAGAAAGGGATGCTGGGAATCCAGTGCAGAACATGTGACTTAACATGAGGACTTGTCGAATTGCGTCTTAGGGGGGCAACAAACCCTGGCAATACGCTGCGTGAAAGCTCCGAGGCACATGCATCTTGTGCTCTTCGACGCGCTCTTCGGATCCAGAGGAGAAGTGCGGTTCCGGTCGAGAGATTAATACCATAAGCGACCAGAAGTGACATCAGGAATGATTGCCAGTTCTTTGCGAATGCGATGACTCCTTCCGCGCTAAAAAGTGCGGTGGTTTGTGAGAAAGCCTGCATAAGCTACGAACGCCAAATCGTGTCAATTTCCATGTAGGTCTCTTCTCTAAGCAAGCGGAATAAATTTGAGACTGACTAGTGTGCTAGTTTCGAGGACACGAATCTCCTCAACACCTTCAGGCTCAAGAGAAACTAGTTCTCCATCGTTTAGCCTCGTTTGTATGAATTGCTGCTCATTTCGTCAGTGCTTGGTCGTCTTTCCTCTATGAGGGGGGGGGGGGGGGTGGGGTGTCCTGACGTTTCGCATTTCCTCTATCTCAACCTGTACTTGCAGCATGCCATGCTTCGCGTCGTCAGCAACGAGTCCTGGTGATCCTTCTTCGAACGGGACTTAACTTACAAAGCTGACAGCACATCGCTCGTCTAAGGTTGATCGGAAGTTTGGGGGAGTCTAAGACCTGTCAGCGACGACAATGTGTATGTGACCGGTACCCGGAGGCCATACTTTCTTGGGCGCTTGACAGTATTGTATCACGGAGCTGCATTCCGCCTGGTAACTATCCAGTCGAACGCTGAGCTGGCCTAGCTCATAGAATCTCCGCCTGATATCGCTAAGATACGGATAGCAGTCTGTCGCATCTCCAGGTTGCCCGTCAACGTTGAGGAAGAAGTTCACTTCAGTTGAAACGAAAGAAGTTCCGACTTTCACCGTTTCTCTGATAACGCTTATGAGATCCTGCAAGATATCTTGAGACTTCAGCATCGAATTCTCCAAGGCATCGACCTGAAATCTGTGCTGCTCGGTGTTGGCAAGTCCAGGTGAATGCCTCAAATTACGGAGCAGCATCTTATACTTCCGATCCTAGAGGACAAGTTATCATCTTGCCACAGCTTCGAGTCCTAGTAGGGGTATTGTACTTCTCTCTCGAGGCTTTGCCCCAAGTGAAAGCATACACTTTCCCATTCATCTTTGATTTGAGCAAGCCGGAAGCTAAACATGCGGAGAAACCAAATGCGTGGATGCCAGTACAGCTTGCTGGCGTCATGTCCACCGCTGCAAGGGTCCGGGTCAAAATCGCATCCCCTTCCGTCTTGCATGTCATTAGCATAACGTATTACCTGTTCATTTATGCCTTCATCTTGGTCGAACCATGTGTCGATACAGGAGTGTGCTGTCCACCGCCAATAATCATGACCGCTGACCAAACAAGCAATGTGGCCTGAGTAGATACCGTGAACCTGATTCGCTTTGTCTCCATCCCCTGTAGGCATTAAGCATGTGACATCTCTTGATGATCTCAGAGCGTCATTATTTGAGCTCTTGATTCGTTCATCTTTCAGAAGACTTTCTGATGTTCGCCAGACTCGGAACGGGAAGTGAAATTCGAGGGAGAATATTGGATATCCCCAGGCCTGTGGATATACCATAACTTATTAACACAAGCAGAGCCATCCAAATCCGCAGCAAGCTCACCTCGAATAGGACCCCAACCGTTGTTATGGAATTGAGATGCTTGTAGAAAAAGTCTCCAAGCAGCTTAGTCTGAGATAAGGTGGCAGTTTTCACAATCGCCAGGACACTCCAACAATCCAGGTTCGTGAGAAAACTAGATTAGCTGTTAACATCTTGACTCAGGCAGTTTTCCATATCAGTCGTCTCTTTGTTCAGGATTATAGCATTTAAGAAGGGAACATCTTACAGCAAGCGACGTTCAGCGTCAAAGGCTTGGGTATCTTCCCACTTGGTCATCTCTCTTGTATCCCCCTGTTCCCGAGTATTGGAAGTAAGGCATTTCTGATAGCGCTATCAGTGGTTTCAGGGATGATTACGACTAGGACTTCATGTCACTGGGCGCTCATTCGGAACTTACTGGCTTCGACAAAACCTCAGCGAGTAGACGGGCAGTCAATGACCCCGAGCAGTCTCGGGTTCTCACCACGCCATGAACGAGTTGACTGTCTATCAGCCAAGCTACCCGCTTCTCTCCGTCGAGAGATTCGATACTAGGAAGGTCGTGAAGATCCAAGTAATGACAGGCATCGAGGATGGCACGCACGCGACCATGATAGCTTACGTCGTCGTCATCAGACGTGAGGAACAGGCTGATGGCATCTTTCGGCGAGTTGCAGCCCTCATGAAAGTTTGCCCATGGTCTATCTTCAGGAATTGCGGCTGTTTTTGGTTTTTGAGAGAACTGCTGAGGCCAATTAAAATCTCTGCAAAAAGGTCGTGAGAGCTGGTTACATGTCGGGGTCGCGAGGGTGTTGCCTGATGTGGCCCTGTCCGAAGATTCGACAAGCATTTCATTATCCGTCGTCTGGAGACATCGATTATGTTGAGCCTGAGGGCAGATGTTAGACATGAGGTATCATTTTACACGTATCAAACTTGAAGACGTCAATTGCCAACAAATAAGCAACCACCAGCGCAACTTCTGAGGATGCAGGGAAACAGTCTTTATGGGAGGTAAGAGAGCTTACGGTACGATTCGAGGCGATCCTGGCCTCCAGCGGATCCGCACTTATAGAACCTTCTTGACTCATTGAGTTATGTAGAGCTCTGGTAAGTTAAAGCTTTTTAGATTTCGCGAGTACGTAGTAATCAGTCTGTGGCCCGAAAACTTGCCCTCGTGGTAGGAGAATGCTTGTTCTGTTTCTCGCGCCTCGCCTAAGTTTCTCCAAAGTCTAATTCTAGTAGGTAGGGTAGGGTGACGATATTAAGAAGATGGGTTGGGCTGGTCGTGATTTTGAAGTCGTGTCCGCACTCTATCAACGCCGGCCACACGACATCTGCTATAGGGAGAGTATGACAGCTGAAACAGGGACCACACCTTGATATCAGATTAGCCGCAGTGGCATTATGTCGGGTCAAAGTCTGCCGTTACCAGCGATAAAACCTCGTAGATTGGCTCAACTAACACAGAGACGTATGAATGTCCAAATGAATGCAATTTTCTTTCAGGGAACAGGCGAGATACTCAGGTGTGGGAATGAACGGGGAAGAACAAGGCGATGCGGGCGACTTATCTACCATAATCCGAACAAAGTCGGGCACATGGTCACACCCCCAAGGTCGCCATTTTATTCTCGCTGCCGATTGGTCTGAGGTAGGTACTTTACCTTCGGCCAAGGCAGACTTAGGTATCAATGCATAAGGCGAAAAAGGAGGCTTCTTTTGTAAAGCGTGGAGGGCAGGGGCCAGTCCTACCTATTTGAAGGGAAGTTTTGTAATATTGATATCATACAGCCTGCTTTAAAAGGAGACGAGCAGCGTCCCTGATGATTGCATGGATAGACTGGCATTTTGGAAACGGTTCATTGGCGGTCTACAGAATCTACGTTTTCCAAAAGCCGTCGGCTATGACTCTGGTAGGAATCCTGTTAGTGCGGAAGGCACGGTGATTAGCTATGCCCCGCAACGAAGCCAAAGAAGGGACCGTCTGCGACGGTAGAGGAAACCAGATATTTAGGTGAAGAATACAAGTTACCTTACCATACCTTACCTTAGGTAATCTCCAAGAAGTCGGGCACGGGTTTGCACTCCAAAATGCACTTCACTCTTGCTTTCAATTGGTGCTTGGTATGGCAAGCCGAGTCCAGGTAGGTATTAATGCATATGTAAGGCAGATAATGAGGCTGCGATTGCGAAAGGGTGACGGCCACTCCAACGCTCAAGGGTGCTGGAGAGGGGCTGGATATTAGTCGCCAGCTTCAAAGGGGGGGCGAGCAGCGAGCAGCGTCTCAAATTAGCCTCACTATTCGGCACTTCTCAGAGAGATACGGAGGAGACATCTTCAACTTTGTATCGAAGATCGTGACTCCGGCCAGGAACCTGTTACATTTACCTTCCATTTGTCAAGAAACCTTGGAAGACGTACCTAAACGCACCAAGACTAAAAGGAAGATGGCAATCATCAGCAAGGGCACATCCATTCATGTACCGGTATTCTATTTGGTTATCCATCTCATTCCTCTTGTTTGCCACTTTAGTATTATCTTTGTCTTCCCTCAACTACCCGTCACCCATTTCGCTGGCCCTCGAAAGCGTATCAAGTCGGGTTTGCCTCCTCAAGCTCCATTATCTTGCCTCTGGCGCTAGATGTTCTTAAGATGGTGCTTCTGGTGTCCTGAGATTGAACCCTATCAATCAAGCCGGCCAAGAATGTTCTTCGTGATGCTGGACGTTGGCCCCAATTTCTCTCTGTGTTGTCGCGTGCTTCATCACCTGCATGACGGCCATCTTCCGTATGATCTAAAGAAGGCTTCGTCGATTGAAACAACCACTGACCACTGGCTAGTCGTAAAACAATGAGTACTATGATCACCAAGATAACAATTATCACGATCATCACGAGGATGAAACTTTGCCAGTTCCGTTTGAATGTGACGATGTCATCGCATCCAAAGATGGCAGCCGTAATAATTAGCGGTTGAGTAAGCTTTTTCCTTTGTCAGTTCTTGAGATGATCGGCAAGGAGATGAAGCCAAGCTTATAATCGTGATCCATGCCAGCGCGCGAGGTTCAAAGAGGTTCACTTGGCTATATGGTACTATAGGCGGGAGTTGAACACGATACTATTCGCTCTCGTCAGTCAACCTGGTGTAGTGGGCATTTTTTAGTCTGAGAACGGTTTAGTCATAGTCAGCTTAACGCTGGGCTGTGGGCATGTCGGAGACTTACAATCTTTCGCGCCGAGACAGCCTCATCCATCAGGTCTCTACACTTTTGCTGCATATCTCTGAGTCTCATTCCTAGTTGCTCGAGAATATTGAATGTGTTACGGATTTGTGTCAAGTGTAGAACACAAAGAGACTCGTCTTCCGACTCATCATAGTTGATAAAATAGCGAACGTCCGTATTCATAAAAAATTCACCGCTTCTGACAGTCTCTTTCAAATCCTGCGCGAGCTCCTCCAGAATGCCTTTGAGTTCGCCGAAGCCCCTTTCAAACTCATCGAACTCTCGCAGGAACTGACCCTGTCTCTTATGGAATTCTTGTGGTTCTTTCGCTGGCACCCGGGCATGTGTCATGAAATCTTCGTGCCGCCTGGTCTAGATAGACGGGACTTGTAAGCTTCATCATGGCCTGATGACAGTGGAGGACCATTGGGGGTCACTCCTCACTATGGCCTTTAATCTTTCGTCAAGTCTCGCGAAAAGGAAAATCCACTCTCGATAAATCTGTACAATACGTATTTCGAGAACCCGAATGAAATAAGGCCGAGGAGACCACTCAGTCCTAGTCGCATCATCCTTTCTTCTCCACAGAGGATCTGAGATCATTCCATCCTGAAAATCGTTTTCGTAGCCGGTTTTCATATCTGGCGACGGGTCATCGAGGATCTCATCAAACCAGGTCTTCACGAGAACCAATCCGGTCCAACGCCATTGATCATAACCAGTGACCATACATCTCATAGTAGTAGCGTAGATGCCATCCGTATGGATCAGAGGCCCTTGACACTGCGCTAGGCACCTTAGATAAGTGACATTTCTCGACGCTCGCAGTGGCTCTTCTGAAGGTTTCTTCTGACGACTGTCACTCATCAACCCATTTTTAGATCTCCATACTCGTAATGGTAAAGAGAATTACATAGCGAATGTTTACGGTCCCTCAGACTTGTTGGGCTATCAGCGTCAACACATTGAGATATCGAGAAAGCCCAAAAGACGAGATAGCGATTCAGGTGCAGTTCCCACGAGTGCAAGAATGCCCCATGCATCCAAGTTAGAGATATAGCTAGCAGAAAGTCAGACTCCATCGATCTCTCCACAACTATGAAGCGAACATCCATTAAATACTCACATCAATCTCCGGTCAGCGTTAACAACGGGGACCTCGTCATCTCTATAGCGCTGGCAAAGTATCTGATGAGCAATCCATGATTTTGGGGATTCAACTGCGAAGAAGACGACCAACCTGCTTCCTGAGTTCTTCATACAACTCCTGCGCGTTTAAGCCGCCGAGAAACTTTCGGAAACTTGGTCGGGCCCCAGAGTTGTTGCCGTCGATTAACAGTGCGATCTTGTCTCTCTGCGCACCTTCATCTCCTTCCCGAAGCTTCTTAAGGTTCGCTTCCCGAACTATGTCAAGGATACAGTCGATGCGGTATCGGTCTGGGGCCCAATTTTCTTCAGTGCTGAGCATGAAACCTACATCGTCGCCCTCAAGCTCTGCAGTTGTTGATTTCAGGTCCTCGGCAATGAAGGGCGAGTTTTCCCAGCTGACTGAAATGTTTTCGCGCAAGAAGAATCTTGACGGCCAAGAGAATGCCCCAGAGCGCTTGTTAACTTGTGAGATCTGCACATCCTTCGGCTTAGGTAGCCCTGCAGGCTTCTCAGAACTATCCATAGACGGAGGAACGACTTCTTTGTCTGTTGCGTCGGACATCTAGCTTAAATTGATATAGGTTGGGCCTAGAGTTTAGTTAATCAACCGTCATCTCGATACTAGACTCGTAACGTCGCTCCCGACTGCAATCCCGTTTTGATCCTGACACCCTGTTGTAGGTCATTGAACCGTATCCAACGATGTTATGTTCCTGACACTCCAGACTGCTGATAGCCTCCAAGGCTGACGGCATCATCAGACACTGCCAGCAAATGGCCTGCGGAGTTGGGGGTGTCTATCTTTCTCTCTTTTTCTTTCTTCTGTTCTTTCAATAAACTTCACTTCTCCCGAACACAATTCAAGTAACGGCGGCCGCTGATAGTCTGAAAGCAATAGAGAATAAGGAATCGTGTGTACTCTGCAACGGACTTTTTCTAGGTTGGAGTCGAAAAGATGACCTAGGCTCATAGGAACTGAGGAAATTGAGTGATAAGAAAAGGTAGATTTACGGTCAATATCTGCGGTCTCGTGAACCTTCCTCGCGGACAACTAAAGAACTGTTGAGAGTTCAGTGTCATCAAACCCAAGGTGTCTACCTATTCTTGATCTTGCATGTAATGTTGGTGACGGACTTGAACCCTCTCCACCCTGCAGCGCGAACAGCGAGGATAGTGGCAATGGGGGCAAGTATCGATGACTACGGTCATGCCGCCTTGACCAGCACTATCATTTATCAGTACTTCAGGACAATAAGGTACTGTTACAGTCTCCGTTCCAATTATCACAAGGTTAGGGAAGAATTTTCCTCCCCGGGAGGTGCTTTCTGGCAGGTATCAGGGAGATGGTCCAGTGAGCTACTAGCCAACGAGAACGCCCCTCCCTAAAATGTACTTCGGCATCGTATCTCATTGAGTGCGGAAAACCGACAATACATGCGAGTGCGGGGCAAAAGCGAATTATCCCCTCTGCCGTGGCATAGGATCCCGAGGTAGAGACCGGGAGGCAGAGGCCAGAGGTGGGCGGAAACGTGGGCCCAGCAAATCCGGCATTCACATCGTCCGAAACCCGGAACAAGTGGGCCGTCTAGGCAGTACGGGACAAGCCCTCCATATAACCAGAGGGAGGTATTTTTGATACACTAGCAAAACTGAGAAGAAAATACCGAGCATGGGTAGAATAGAGATGATAGCACTTACACAAGTCCACATGAATGCATACCTCTTCCTAGGAGGCTAGACAAGACGTGTAGTATCAGTGACTGCTGGACGGGAAAGCTGAGTGGGGAAGTCGCAGTTATATCCGTAGCCCGAATGATAATGGAACAACTGATCATTGCTTCTACTCTTCCTATTGCTTCTCGTCTGCAGGCTGAAACAACCACGCCCTCCCGCTTCAGTTCCAAGGCTCTCTAGGTACCTGTGTGGGATTGATTGGGCAGCGTCACATGCATGATTTCAGAGTCAGCCGGCAGAGCAGTCGCATCAACTTGGATGAGGCTTACAAGTATGCACCGCTGTGGTTCAGAATGACAACTGTTCGTTGTCGCTGCCACGGAAACACCCAAGTTGGTGCCCTGGATTGAGATTGAGTGGTCACAAGGAAGTGAGTATGCTGGTGACAAGCTTGGAGGAAGGCGGCTGTGAGTGGCTGAAGAAGAGAGGAGATTGGCCCATGAAGTTGGCGAAGGGTGTGAGGGCCATCTTCCTTTTGGCTAATTACTTGGTCTCACCGCCTACATCGTCATGCAAATGAGCATACAAGTGTGCTTCCTCCGCTCGCCTAATGAGACGGATTCTACCTATGGTTGAACGATCATTTGAGATTGTTATGAGACATGGGCATTCATGATTCGATGTCCTTGAATATTCACTCTACCTACGGAATACTTTCCCCTGAGGGAAGCGGGAACTGCGCATTAAGTACACTTTGGCACTTTGATCTTGCGCTTGTTTTGACACTCTGATTGGTCAATGGCTTATACTCTGGGTAAGGGAGGTGGGGGGCCGACAGGCCCCCGCGTTCCACCGTCGTAGGTACCCGTGCCGTTACCTCGATGAAAACCTTCTCTCACGGCGAGCTTGAAAAAGTATCGAGTGAAGTGCTGGGTGGGCAATACACTGTTTTATTGGAACTTCATTCTCGTACTTGGGAGTCTCAAAGAATTTCTTCTTTTCGATCTCAAGATACCGTAAAACCTCGCGAGGCTCGGAATTGCGCTAGCCCGTGCACTCGAAGAGTTACGCCTCTCTCAGTACCAAACACTCGTTGATCTCCGCCACTTTTTGAGATTCTGATTCTGAATAGAGGCGCGTATTGGCCAGAAGTTGAGTCAGACAGCGGGAGCACGGGCTGGCGCAAGTACGAGCCTCGCGAGATTCTACGGGTACGCACATAGATTGTGTCACGTCCTTGCCACGCTGAATCGTGGCGTGTCAAGGCACTAAGGTCTAGATATGAAGGTCCATCTAGTATTCGAAGGTTCCAAAAAGTGAGACCTCGGTGAATGACGGGGTTGGTGCAAAGTCTTTATGTTCTCGCATCCAGTCAGCATACGATCCTCGAAGATCCATGGAAGATGGGCTCGAAATTGAGCAAAAAAGGGTACATGCCCAACGTTCCGAAACCTGATACCTACCCAGCTTCATGTCTTTCCCAGCCTGCCAGGTGCACTGTGTCTCAAAGCTATTGAACCTAGACTTACGATGAACAACACGCACTCTTGAGTCTCATCTCACGATCGATCATGTGCCATAACAACTGAGCCAGCTTCGGGGGCAGCTTGATCTGAATGGTCGTGTTGCTCTCGCGAGTCAGTGTCGCTCCTGAAACTCAAGACAGTGAGTTCTATACTCGGTGGCGGAGGCGGCACAATGGCAATGGCCGCCCTGAAAGGCAGGCGATCCTCGACGCGGTATCCCTGCCACCAGTTCATGAATCTTGTGTGTAATGTAGGACACCGTTGAACTGGGTGAGCTGTGTGGCCATCAATCGTCTCTTCTGGGTTGTCTCTGAGATTGGAAATTGCGGTGGTCGCGGTACCCGTTTGTCGATAGCGGTTGGTGAACGGCCATGCAAAATTCCCAGAGGCTAGCCGTATGCAGATCCCGATGATTACTGCCATAGCCAGGCTCATTAGTGCAAGTGAGATCACGAAATTTGCAGGCGTCCGACCGTATTTGACGATATCGTCGCAGCCAAAGACAGCTGCTATGTTGACAAGAGGCTGAGAGATCTAGCACGAAAGTCAATCGATTGGTCTAAGACTACATCATTCCAACATGATGCGTGATTATGCGGCAAAACACTCACAATAGTCATCCAAGATGCAACGCGTACTACCATGGACTGTTGGTGCGTCACAGCAGAAGCTGGAACTGAGATTGAACTTGGAGTAACCATAGGTTGTTGGACTTTGTTGAGCTTGATGCGAAGTAAGGCCTTTGATTATCGTCAGTATTGATGCGGTTCTGCTTCACAACCTGTCCGCCCATAGGCCGACTGGACTTACCTTGGCTCTCGCAGCCTTGCCATGCTTGATCATTTCCTGATACTGGGTTTGTAGTTTGTCAAATCTGGGGCGCAGTTTTCGAAAATCTGAAAAGATTCTTCGTATCTGCGATAGATAAGGGTAGCAGGCTGACATATCACCTGGCCGTCCTTCTGTGTGGAGGAAGTAGTTCACGTCTGTCGTCATGAACAAGTTGCCGCTTGAAACGATCTCTTCCACAGTCTGTGCTAGGGATTTCACTATCCCTTCTGCATCGGAAATACTTTCTTCAAAATCGTCCAATTCATCCAAGATATCCTCCCATCTTGTGGCAGTCTGGTGATCACGCGCAGACTTGTGCAGGCGCTGCAGAAGACGATGGTGCTGCTCGTTCTATAGCAGAAAGTTAGATGAATTATTTGTTTTCGACTAGTTGTTCAGCAAGTACTTTGACTTACAATGCCTTTCATCCATCTATCGATGTTGTTGAATACACCATCAACTTCTGTGTAGATCTGCCTTAGGCGAATCTCAAGGGCGCGAAGAAAATAGGGGCGAGGGAGCCACATTTCAGCTGTTGAGTCAAACATGTCGCTCTTTCCACGAAGTAGAGGATCTGAGGGTTTGACCACACCAAACGACTCCGCCACATCCTGCTGCTCGCCTTCGTATCGTGCGATGCTATCGAGGGTCGGCAAGCCAATGACTTCGACTTCAAACCATGCTTCGCACAGCAGAATACAGGTCCAACGAAACTGATCATAACCTGTTACGATGCAGCTAACATGGCTTGAGTAGATGGCGTCGATGCCCTCGATATCGGATTGAGAGCCAGCAAGAGTGCGTAAGAATGAAACATCTAGTGAAGACCTGAGGGACTTTTCGTCTGAGCTTTTGGCGCGATGGTCTCGTATCAAGGTCTTCGACGTCCGCCATACCCAATATGGAAACGAAAACTCAATGACAAAAGTTTCAGGGCCTTCCGTCTGGAGAGACATAGATTAGCTGCTAGGGTTGATTCGAGGAGTCAGAGCCCCATTTACATACCGAAAAATGCACACCTAAACAAGGCCTGGATAGGATGTAATTGAGTAAGAAGCCGGCCAGTTGCCGATAGAGTGATTCTGGGGCAGATCCCACGAGCGCAAGAACGGCCCAGCGACTTAGATCAACGACATAGCTACACGAACGATATGGATCAGCGTTCTCAACGCTTTCATTTATTCTTGAAATGCTTCACAGCTTTCGTCACATTGCCGAACTTACATCAGACGTCGTTCTGCGTCAATGAAATCAACCTCCTTATCACCAGCATTGTCATGGTAGCGCTACGAGCGATTAGTGTTGATTGCATCTAAGCTTCTAGGGAGCCCTATCGAAGAGACTGGTACAACTTACCTTTTTTTGCAACTCCTCTAGCAATCTCAGCGCCGACAAGGCGCCAAGGTACTGCCGGGGACGGATCTCGCTCTCCGAAAAGTTGCCGTCAATGAGCATGGCAATGTTGTCAGTCGGAATGTGGCTGTTTACTTGTTGAAACCCCTCCAGTGTTGCACGCTGAAGAAAGGCGACAAGGGGCGCTACACGAGATTTGTCCGCTGCCCAATTCTCTTCTGTGATCAAAAAGAAGATGGTGTCTTCTTCCCCAGGTTCTTCCGGAGTCAAAAAAATGGTGTTGTTATCCTCCACTGACTCTTCTGAGGTCAGAGTTTCACGTTTGGTCTCTACCGCGGCCGTAACCCAGGGTGTATTCTCCCAGTTCTCTGAGATAGCCTCTCGCCTGAAGAACCTGGGCGGCCACGAGAATGCTCCGGCTTGCCCATAACCTTGCCCGTGCCCCTGCCAACCCTCCTTCTTGAGTCGGCTATCTCTTGGCTCTAGTGATGGAGAAAAGTGCGGCGAGGTCGAGGTCGAAATTACGGGTCCAGCGGATACACTCATTGCCTTGTGTGATAATGAATCGCCTGAAGAGGAAGCTGGAAGATCAAAAAGTTGCTGCATTCTTCAAGGCCAGCAGTAGTATTGTAAAAGTTTCCCTGCTCTTTTCGAGTTGGGAATGAGCAACGCCCGAATATAAATTAACAGTCTTCCTTTCGTGTCTCCCAGCCTGTTAAAAACTTTTGCGTTCCTGATTCCCGAATTATACACGCCGATTTTGTGTTCGTAGTTTGTTGTACAAAGGTGTCTAGGCTCCGCAAAGAAATCGCTTTTTGGTATAACGCCCTTCGTAACTCCCACTTTTTGAAACAGATTATATGTCCAGTTATTTTTTTCGAGTCTAGGTCGTGTTTTGGCCGTGATAGTGGCCCAAGAGCTTATGGTCGTGGTGGCGGACGTGTACTCTAGTTACAGCACACCGAGAGCAGCGTGGGTAGCGACAGTTGATACAAGGATCGACTACTACTGTCATGCCGCCTTGTCCGCAATAACACTGTTACCGAGAGAAACTGTTAGCTGGTGTGACAATTGACGAGGTGGGTCGCGTATTCAGCCGCTCGGAGGTTTGAATTAGCTATGGCATACATACGCAAGTCCAGACAAAGGCGTATTTCTTTCGTGGGGGCTATCGGTGGAATGGGCCGTCAGTGGCTAAGTAGGTAATATGCGAGTAGTTGCAAAAAGCTAGATGTAGAGTTGGATGGATATTGAAAGACGGGAAGCGTCGTACCATGGCTTCGGATGATGCTCACTCAGGCTTTTATGACTTGTCTCCTGCAGCAGCTTCGCCTTGCCTCTTCTTCTCCTCTGACTCCCCCCGGCCTACCCTTCGAAACCAGTCGTTAGGCGCGTCTGCATAGGTTGCAACCGCAGACCGAATTTGATCACGCTCTCGGCTGGATTTGAGGCGAACGAAGTGTGTTCGGATTCGACCGGAGTTGCGAACTAATGCGGATGGTGGTGTGGACGACTCGATGCTGTCGTCTAGACTGATTGGGCTGGGCATGCCCGTTTTGTTGGAAATTCGTCAGGGAGACCAATTGAGCACAGCGCCGTTCATTGGCCGGTGAATTGACCTAGTATTCAAGCAGTGGAACGCAAGGCGTGCAAAAATGATGGCTTCCATCTTCCATGTCGCGTCTAGACATGCAACTGATCCCAACACATCCTGTCTGACGTTGAGAGGTCACATGACGTACACTGGCTGTACCGGTGAGTTACGGTGAGTAACGGTGAGTTACGATTAGCAAATTGCTGTGGCTGGTCCGGCAAGCCTCCCTGGCTCCTGCGTTTCGACAGCCATTTAAAAACAATAGCGCAATCTGCGCGATAGCACACAGTGTCCAGTGTGTTTCGAGAGTTGAACTACGGGAAACAATTGCGCAGAGGGAAGTTTGCAGCAAGCACAAATTCCAACCCCCTGAGAATTGAACCGCGGTAAAATCTTAGAGCTTTCGAGGGGCACATGGACCAACAGGTCTGTCGCAAAAGTAGCATCGAAGGTCGGGTAGACGGCTCAAAGGAAATACGTGTCGCATTGATTGGTGTATCTCGGTCCAGAGGCCATGTTGGAAAACCACGGCGGATAAGTACAGTGCAGACGCAGTTGGGTGGAGATGTGGAGGGCAAGTTGAAGTGACTATGTCATCAGCCTGTCGGTGTCCAAATGCAGCATGCGCACAACACGTGACGGTATCCGCATCTGTCAAGAAGGACCCACCCGCCTAGGCACCGTCCCGAAGAAACGGTTGTTGCACCATTGGCATGCAGATATTGGCAGGGAGATCCATACAGCGAACAACCAGAATTCAAACTGAATTAGACGCTTGTCCGACCCTGCGCTTGAACGTTCCCCGTCTATCAAATCATCATTTGACCAGTCCTCGGCCATATTCGGACCGGAATGTTCACTAACCGCTGACCGAATGTTGTACCGTGAAGCATATCGTGGCTCCAATAGAAACAACTCTCTAAAGTGCTGTCCTCTCGCGGGTGGCACCCACACACAACACACCTTGATTTTTATGGAGAGTATGTGACTCGGATCTTCAGGTTCGACGTTGAACTGCGTCAGGAACCTTTGCAGGAGCGAGGGCAGCCCAAATATGCACTTTGAATATGATGCCCTGCCATGTCTCCGGCCTGACCGTCATCCGTCGCCTTATAAAAGGCAAACAATGAGCCACTCGGGCACTCTACTAACCCGAACCCACCCGAGCCAAGCTGACCTACCTGACACCACCCCTATCTCATGAAAGCTTTGAGATAAGGTAGCGGTTGGCCAACCCGACAGGAGATTTGTCATTTATCTTGACCGCACATCCTGTCCTCCGTCAACCTGCGTCATTCATTTCCCCAGTGCAGCGAAACGTTCTACCCGCGAGCTTGTCACATCTTGTGCGACGCGGCAATCTTCTCGGTGTCTCCCTGATTTAGATGAGACACAACACCCTCCGATTTCGGCATTCTGACTACCACTGAGGCTGTGTATCTGTCTCACCGCTATTGTACAACGTTGGACTGTATTACTGGCGAAACCATACAACCAAATGAACAGCATCATGCAATCGGTTTCGCTGACCGAACATGACGGAAATGACTGCCTGGAAACTTCACTCGTCAGACCTCACCGAAAACCTTCGTGTTGACGTTCAGCGTCATGAACGTCTCAATCAGCTTTTGCCACGAACCAGGACTAAGTGCCGGAGCCAGTGAAAAGAGAGGCGGCATTCCATGTGACATCTCTTCAGGTGGTGCTTTCATCGGGGGTGTGTTTCCGTGATGGTTTCCATTATGAGCTCTGATTCTGCAGCATGTGCCCAAATACCACTCAAAAGTACAGCCTCCATCACTCAACGGCTCGCCTGTACCAGATGGGCGGCGTCGTTAGGCACCAAGTAAGGTACTGATTGTGGAAGCAAGCGGTGCACCAGATGCAAGTCAGTTTGCTCGTCACGGGGCGGACGACGATGACCACAATTTTACCCAATGAATGTTGCACGACGTACTGTGTCCAATGATAAGGAAACAAGACAACAGTCGGCTAAATCCACGGATGCCACACCTGGCTGAAGCAACACCGCTACCAAAATGCCATTTACCCCGGATTTTCATCGTCGCAGCACACCATCGTCGTAACTTGACAATCAATTCCATTGGCTTTGTTGAACGCTACCTCGGCTATGTATTGTTGATACCCAGAGCTTCAGGGGTCCAATCAAATGGTTGAAGACAAAGATGGGACGGACAAGATAAGGTAGCAATTGAGAAGAGACCAACAATTTCAATGAAAGCATCGTCAGCCCCACTAGCAGCTTGTTGCATGAGGTATTCCGGCCTTGTCCAGCCAGATGACCTTCCAACCTATGACTTCCGTTTCTTCAATCTTGACTTTTAGACATCTCAGTCTAGACGTTGGAATCGTACAGGTCAGCTGACCAGGCTGTGCTAACTTGACCACACACACTTGGCGCCGGCCAGCCCACACTCGTGCGCAACTGCCCATCTTTAATATATTATCGGCAAGCTGCCTCCTTTACTTTCTCAGCGAACGAGTCTAGCATCATGGCGAAATTGCAATCAGTGTGCACCTCGACTCTGGCCGGCGCGCAACTGCAACTGACTGGCCATTGCGATAATTGTGACGGCTGAAAATGGGAGAAATGGATTCTGTGGGGGTGTTGAAACTTAAGGTTTAATTGATATGTTTTCATTGGCGGATGTCGAATAACTGTTGAATACGGAGAGCTACTAAACTCTAAGCAGATAAATTCAACCCCAGACTTCAAGAGCTCCCTCGAATAAACTTTTGGCAGTGCTCCCGTAATTTGAGCGGTCAGGTCCTTGCTGACATCTCCTATTGTTCCGAACACGACGGAGTAAGATGTACTGGTGTCATTATCTGGCATGGCTTCTGGGGCGTGCTCTCGAAGTGCCAAACTCTATGTCAGGTCCCCTGAGCAAGAGCTTCGGTGTAGCTTTAGCGTCTTGCCAAGACAGCAGTTGAAGGCTTGTTGAGACTCGGCCCTATTGTTGCAGGTTGACCCAACACGCTCCGGCCCGGTAAATCGAGAAGCCCAATGTCGCCTGCGTGTCGTCTCTGGATGTGCCCCATTCCACTTGTGCACCATGTGGATCTGCGGGGTGGCAAGCGGTTGCTGGCGTCCACCGGGCCTGTCCCGCCGCGTTCTCGTGAGCAGTCGCTAGTCTCTTCTGCGGAACTCTGGCCTCCAGCTCTGCTCTCAAACAGGCTGACGCCAGATTCTAGCAACTTGAGCAATAAGACCACAATAGACCCCATAGCAGCTACCATGAAGAAGAGAGCGTAGAGAAAATTATACCATGTCCGCGGAAAAGTGATAATGCCATCACAGCTGAAGATCGCGGCTACATTGAGGAGTGGTTGGGACATCTGTCGTTCATATTAGCCATTGACCCCGGACCTTTTGAGATTGCCAGTCCGACCTACCATTGTTATCCACAACAGCATTCTTTTCTCCAGCGTATTCGTCGCATTCATATTCGGTGTCAACATAGACTAATTGAGATATTAGCGTACACTTTTTCAGAGTAGTCAGAAGGATTTCGTGCGTGAATCTACCTTTTTTCTCCCACGAATACCACTCTCGAGCATTGACTCGCATGTTCCTTGCAGCTCGCCGATGTCTCGGTGAGTCCGGCCCATCTTATTCAATGTTTTCCGGATCTGAGATAAAGGCATCATGCAATCTATAGCATCTCCAACTCGGCCATCTTGATGTAGAAAGTAGTTCACGTCGGTTTCCGTGAAAACCGCGGCGCTACTTAGGGTCTCGCCAAGGGTCCTTTTCAGATCCCTCAGAACGTCTCCAGCTTCCTTGACCATCATCTCACACTCGTTGAGCTTTCTCTCGGCTTCTTGTTGAGCTCTTAGGTTGCGAGACGCTAGTAAAAAATCATCAAGAAGCTTCTTGTGCTGTCCTACCTATAGTTAGGTACGTTTGCCCTGTCAGTCTGGAAGCTCATGCGGAAATCGAGAAATCCGGGGAACAATCTTACCGCTGCTGCAATAGCCTTGTGAACATGAAAGTACAGGGATTCCCATTCGCCATTGATTTGGTTGAGACGGATCTGAAGAATGCGAATGAAGTAGCTACGAGGCTCCCACGAAGACCTCATTACATCGCTTTTACCTCTCCAAAGTGGGTCTGAATCCAGCCCATCCTCTTTGTCGTTGCCATAGCGGGCTACCATGTCGGGATGTGGTTCATCGTCGAGTGCGTCTTCGTACCAGCTCTCAAGAAAGGCCACTCCAGTCCAGCGATGTTGATCAGAACCCGTGACAATTGCACTTGTGTGGCTTGAGTATATCACGTCAAAGGACGTGGCCTCAATAGGTATCTTGGTGAATCTTCTCATAAACGTGATGTCCATTGATGATCTTAGAGGTTCCTCATTCGACTTTTTCCTCCGATCGTCAGTCCTTGGTTCGGCCGTTGTACGTAAGGCTCTGAACGGGAGGGAAAGTTGGAGTAAAAATGTCTCTGGTCCTTCCGTCTGCCCAAGATGTGAACACGTTTCTTCCATAGAATAAAGATAGATATGAGGTTTCACCACTTACAGCAAAAGAAACCCCAATTTCGCTCTTGGCTGAGAGGTGGTTAAGGATGCACTCAGTCACTTCTCTGTAGAGAGACTCCGGAGAGGACCCAAGAAGAGCAAGAATAGACCAAGAATCTAGGTCAACCACGTAGCTACCAGCAAGAAGGTAAGTATTTGGAGATGCAAACAGGTACATGTGTCTGCCTGACTCACATCAACCTGCGTTCTGCCTCGACGAAGCCACTACTCACAGTAGATTGTTCATAATCGAGTTCATAGCGCTATGTTTAAAGCGTTAGACTTGAGTTATCCACTACTCTTCGGAAGCCAAAGGGCATACCTCTTTAGTCGCCTCTCTCAACAACTGCCTTGCTGATAGGCCTCCGAGAAGAGGTCGGAATTCCGGTTTACTGCCAACGTTGTTGCTATCAATGAGGAGGGCTACCTTGGTTTCCGGCACCCCGTCTCCATCTTCTTCCAACTGCTGAAGTGTTCTTCCCTGGATGATATCGAGGAAAACATCAAGTCGGAACTGGTCTGGAGCCCAGTTCTCTTCGGTTCGCAAAGAGCGCAATATATCTTCTTCTTCGGGGCACTTTAGGTCTTGTTCCATGTCTCGAAGGGTGGCGTAAAGCCATGGAGTATTCTCCCAGTCGCTGGGAAGTTTTCTTCTGTTGAAGAACCGCTCGGGCCATGGGAATGGTCCCGCTTGCTCGACCCTATTTGGGATCCGCACATCGAGTGGCTTCGGGAGCTTAGTTGGTTCAACCGGTTCTGTTATAGCATCCGCGGAGTGGGCTGAGGAAGGATAGCTTGAAGCCTTTCCCAACCGCGGTAAAGTCATGGCTAATCCACTTCCGTTCTTGATTTCGCAATTATTCGTTGTCTGTCAACTCGTATTATCTCGACCTCGATGGCGCGATTTTCGATAACGTTTTGCCCACCCACCCTCTTGATAAACAACAACAAAATGCTCAAACTCCGCCAATTTATGATATCACAATTATTACCCTCGCTTTTCTCTTCCGTCGTCCGTCTTCAGGTCCCTGATAAACGTTATGCGATTCGTTTCTAGTTGTATTTTTCCCGTTGAGCCAAGAACCCTGTGTGAAGAGTGTTGTTGAGCTTTCCGGGTTGATCGTATGTACGATACTAAGTAGACATCTTAATGGAGTTCAGAGTTTTTCCGCGTTTTCCCTTATTACGTATGATCGCTGTGGCTGTGTTGGTCGTGGGCAGTATCGTGATGTAGGTGTTGCCGGACGTGCAGTTTGTCCACTCGACAACGCGAACACCTAGGGTATCCGCAGCTGACGCAAGGATCGGTAACCACATTCATGCCCCCCTGGCCACAATAGCACTGTCACTACCATCAGTATGTAACTTGAAGATTTGTCGTTCAGACAGCTTCGCATTGAAAAGCCTGCAAGCAGCAACGAGATATGTAGGGATAACGCACGCAGGTCCAGCGGAAGGCATACTTTTTGCGCGGCGGCTATTGGTGGGACGGCCCGTCAGTGGCTGAGAAATTGATATATGAGAGAGTCTATAGCAACGGGATTTGGGAATATAGACAAAAGGGCGCATTATGTACCATGTTTGGGACGTAATGGATGTCTCTCCAAGTTTACTCTCTGAAGACAACCAAGGATCTACGGTTGGCCACGTTCCAACCCCCTTGCAACGCCCTTCTGCAGTGGCTGTTGGTTTGTCTTTGCATGTAGTGTGTCTGGAGTCCATGCAAATGATCACATGGACAACTCGGCCAGCAAGATCAGGGCGGCATGAAGACGTTAGGTGTCGAGGGCGGTAAAGATTCGGGCTGGAACCGCTGGGTGGTGTGGAGGCTATTGCGAAGATTGGCCAGGCGCCCGGGTCGCCTTCTCTCGAGAGGCAACCAATGGGGTATTATACAAAAGTTGGGTCATTCAGGGAGGAATTCAAATGCGCTGGTTGCGTGTTCCACGAGAAATTTGTTTGCCCGCCACGACCATGCCAAACATAGGTTGTTTGTTTTCTTCAAAAGGACATGAATCCGGATGTACGATTCAGGAGAATAGGACAAGGATTTCGAATTCGATCACCTACTAACAATTTTAGACGTTCGAGTCCGGTCCGGTTTATCCGGTGGGGCAGACCGTAGCATGTAGTAATGTACGCTGGAGTCCCCGGTAGTACCAGACTGCCAGAGTTTGATTGCTTTGACTCTAGGCTTCTGTGCAGACTACCAACATATTTAGGGGTAAGAAAACATATGTTCGGATACGCCGAAAATACATGTGCCTCTGGTAATCCACCGCAGAAATCGGGCTGTCTGCACTGCTTACAAATTGAGGTCTAGTGTAGATTTCTACCCTATCGAGAGCCAGGTGATACATTTTCCCGTTTTCTTCTTCCAGCCCTCCCTGAGTCTCATGGTCTCAAAATGCTTCCAGCTGCTGGTATCGAAGAAGTAAACCTGCTTTCATACATAATGTGTTGCTTCCAGATACGAACATGTTGCCCCCCAATGGCATCAGGGGCACAGAAAGGCATGGCAAGGTTGCTGGCGATGAACTGGAGTTTGTGCTCAAATGGGATAAACTCCCGGCCTTTGAGTTTTCTGCGTGTGCTGATCCGGATATCCGTAATGAAGTGAGATTTGGGGAAAGCGGAGGAGGCAGAATCGACGACGACAGGTCTGCTCCTCTGTGCCTCTGAAGGGGCCAAACTATCTAAAATTGCATATCAAATCATCACACTATTGCATCTCCCAAATTAACAACATTTAGACATTTAGGGGGGTCGACTACTCGACTCTTCGCACGGCTGCGACTTGATCCAACATCGGGACTCGGCTGGGCACAGGGGAGTCCATGGTGGCTTACGACCTGGCCATTTCGGTTCTTAGTCTATCTGCACTGCCTATCTAGGGTACGTACCCATGCGTGCCATGCAAGGTATGTGGCGCTGTGCTAATGTCTGGGGAAAAGTCCAAGACGGAAAGCACAAAAACCATCGCATCGCTTTCTGGTCGCGGCAATATCATTCGTTGATGATGCCTTTGCACATCTACACATTCTGAACGCCGAAACGTCTGCTTGCGCCTATACCCACATGCGTATGAGAGGCAATCATCATCATCGTCCATTTCAGTTTCTCATTATTGACGTTAAACTAGTTCGCCTCAACTTTGCGCTTGCCCGACGGATGATTGATCACCACCAACCGCCGCATCTTTGATCATTCCGCCCGACGTCGTGGCTCCAATGGACACATTCCTCAGCTTCTCGTGAGACAGGTATCTCACCGGTCGAAGTACGGCTTACGATTCGAGCACTTTGACTCAAGCGACTCATGCAGGTTACCTACCCACGCGCCACCTTTGGTCCCAGGCCTGATTGTGCATTTTTGACCTGCAGGGCCTCGAAGACGCACCCAAAGTCCATTTGAACCTTGCCTATTGGTGTGGCCTTTCATCTGTGGCCTCCCTCATGCCCATAGCCACTCTCCTTACCTTGCAGCCTGAGCCATCGCGTTTGCTTCCAGAACTCAAAGTCACCCCTCATTGAGAGCCATCCCAAGATTCGCATGCTTTGCGTTGAGACCAAGCGTTGTGCCAATCTCCCCGGTCTCGGTGTCGGGTGTACAGCAACATGCCAAGGTAGTAGTCGTTCGCATCACTTGTGATACCATACCTTACCACAAGAGTCTTCGGTGTCTCAAGCAGGCCTGCCCGAAGTCGGCTTCGCTAACGCCAAACAATTCCCACCATCAGAGTAATGGGTAGCTGCAACACCACAAACAGACCACGATCGTGGGATGGCACCACAGAAAAGGCTTCTTCTGGAGGGCGATCATAGTCACCTAGGCAGATCGACTGCTCCTGTCACCGAATCTCTTGCCTCTCAGAGTTGCGCATCATGCCCGTCCGCTGAGCCCCGCAGGCTGCAGGAAGAGCTTCGCCCTGAATGGATGACCCGCACAGCAGTCTAAGTCCATGTGATCTTTTCCTGAGCGCCATTGTGCTTGATGGTTCTCTGGATGCCAGTGCTTCAGTCGTAAACTTGACCGCCTCGATGTGTTTCCTCACACCCGAACCAAATCTTCCCCGAATAGCTTGGTCAATGGGCGAGAACATCATCACTCCAGTAATATTACTTCTCATCGACCTGCTGCATCGACCTGCCTCATCGGTCCATCCGCCCGCAGCCAAGCACCGCCTGTATTTCACATCGCTTCAGGGCTACTGCCTTTTACTCTGCAGACCTTCTTCAGCTGCATGAAAGTGCGTTTATGGATCAGCCAGAAGAGCCCGATAGCCTGCTAGGACTTTTGGCAATTGACTACCGTCATCGCACTGATTGAACGTCCTGGAATTGGCCCTGTGGCACGCTATTGCGGCTGCCTGCTCATGGTGTTCAGAAGCTCGGGGTTTCAATTGGTGAAGAAGAAATTTGCTACGGATAGATCTGCAGCAATCGCAAAGCTCAAACGCGTCACCTGCTTGTACCCATCCTGAGGCACCACAAACATCGCCGATCTAAGTCACTCACTTTTGACTATGGTCAGAAAGGTACTCGGTGAAATCATGGCCAATTCGCAACTGCCACGATAAAATATGCCGTCTGCGAGGAGCATTGACCTTCAGCTATGATTCTTACCGATCAGCTGAGTTGAAACCCCGCCATAGCCTGCATGAAAAGCAGCGGCTGCTGGAAAGACGTTGAGGAATATCGATGTCACAGGAGATGCGCGAAACAGACACCCTCTGAAAGCCGGTGTCACTGCAATAGTGTCTTCGTCATGTATAGAATCCAGTCAAGTGAATTTCTCTTTGCTCCAAGTAGATCTTTTGTCTCGACGGGCTGGAGGTAGGCCAATGAGCAGGCAGCAGCATCGAGTCCTTTCAAAAGAGACCGTCTTCTGATGATCAGATGAGGTGACGATGTAGAGCGACCCATCTTCCACAACCATACCCTGGCTTGTTAAATGAGGATTTCAGTCCATACAGCCTCGTCGTTTATCAAAATCAATCAGAGAGTGCTAAATAACTTTGCGATTGGCGTTGAGTACTGACAACAGCCTTAGCCCATTCGAGATACATTAGTATCATATTTCTTAGGCCGATGACCAGCACTTTAGAACTCTGGAAGTTAAGGAAAAACTTAAGACGCGTCACTTCATTTTTGATAAGATATTGAATTAGTGAAATAAGCAAGAACATCTCATCTTGAGAAGATCACATTGGCGTGCGATCCCCCTCTCAGTTAGAGTGTTCCCGGTAGCGTTTTCATCCTCATCCCCATATGTCGACTTCCGATCCAGCTGGGTATGCATAATCCAAAGGTCGTGAGACCATGTGCAACCGACCTTTCACGTGAACTCATTCCATATTCAAAGAAATTATATTCAGTTTTTATGATCTTGCCCACAGTAATTCTTTTCTCAAGACTCCGACATCTCCGAGTCAGCCTATGACAACCAAAAATCCCAGGGACTTGATTCTTTGTTTAGTGACAACTATGTTGAAATGGATTGTTTTGATACACCGACTGTTGGGTTCTTTCCGGACTAATAGTCAGCTCCTACTACATATAGTTAGGGATAGGGATTGGTGCACCTCAAGCTCTCAGGGTGTTCTAGGTGGCTAAAAAAGATGACGTTGCAGGGTGCTGACTAGGGCGTAAAGCCTTCGTCGTGGCAAACCATGAGATCTGTAGGATAGAGCAATGACAGCTGTACTATCTAGTGCGGCTTCACTCGGTCAAACCAGACTTCTCAAGCGGGGTCCGAATATTTGGTCACGAGTAGCCCAAAAGCAATGACCTAAGTATGTCGCTCGTTGAATATACCGTTTAGTCAGAGCAATCTTTGCATTGAAACGTGAAGTCTCTCAAATTGTCATAGGTTTCTAACAGCGGCTTTGGTTACTTCTAGTAAACCACAGGTATGACATTCCCAGTCGGCTTACGATTGGTTACGAATAAGCATAACCCCCTCGGACTTGGGCTGCAGCACACCATCCTCGATACAGTTTACACTAGGGAAAGACTGTACGAGGTATCATTGTCCGTAAACTCAGTATAGATTGTTCGACACTAACCTCTGGCATCCTAATTCACTCATGCTCAACGTTTCCCATACTGGACTCCAAACGGGGTATCCCATGATACCAAGCGCACGAAGTGGGGTGGACTCATCGCCCATACATCAACGGCACATTATCCGACGCCGAGAAGAAGCGAGCCAGGCTATAGGGATCATCAAAAGTGGGTTGATACGTGCAGCACCGCCTTTTCTACGAACAAGCAAGACGCGTTCAGGGGTAGTTCGGTTTTGTGCGCGATAATCAAGTAGAACACCAGCGGTCTACTCAGACAAGTTCATGATGAGAACAATAGAGCGTCAGCTGAAGCGACTCTAAGAGAAGACGACTCGATTCCTTTAGCTGCATCGAGGCAAATGTTGCGGATGAGAAAAGCATTGCTGTATCAATGGAGTGTGAAAATGTTGCTTTGGTTTCCGGAGAGAGGCTTAGGGTGGCGTTTGGTGGCCTTGAGATACGCTCTTTTGGTTCAATATCCCTCTCAAATGCTGAAGCTTAGCCAAAAGTCTGGTGTTTTGGAGAGCCGTGCCGCGATGCCATCGTCGGCACCGACAGCCCCTTAGAGTCGCAACCTGGATGCATGTCATGAAGCACGTAGACAT